GCTCTTCATCCGTTTCCATGTTTTTTTCAGTTCCAGAAATTTCTTGTTCTGAACACTCTTCTTCTATGTCCGTTATATTTCTTAGGTACTTTGTAATTTTGAAACGCTTTGACATTTTTAGGGTAAATATCTGCAACAGAATCTTACACTATGTAAGGAATAAAAAATTTACATTGAAGTTTTGATACTTTACCTTATCTCCTTCAAATAAGCAATTGTAAAAAATTGCATAAGAAACGCTTTAGAAGTGCCCTACTTGAGACTACTCAATACTATTGTTGTCTGCTCTATTCAATTGCAACCGACTCTGAGGTAACTGTAAAGTATTTTCTCATATCGACGGTCGGTCATATTTACCGACGCGGTAGGTAGGACACATGATAAATTTTTCTTGGAAAAGAGAAAAAATAACTAGAAGTACAGAGTGAAAAAAATATTATATGCATATTCTAAGAATTATTATATAGTTCGATAACGGTATTATAACGTTTAAAGTGTGTACATTTTATAAAAGTTTGAAAACGGTCAATTTGACCGGTACTGGTAGGTTTAGTGTTAACTAAATCTTCAGAAAAAAGCAGTCTGAAGAAATCTAAAATTCTCGACGAACGATTTAAATTATTCCCTACTACTCCCGAATGATGTGGCGTAAAATCATGAATTTTTGGACTAAGCTTCTTTGATGTCCATTTGATGCTAGAAGGAGTATCAATTCGTACTTCAGGCTCTTTTGCTTCTTCAGATACCGAGGTACTAAGTACACGTTCTTGATTGCTCCTCCTTTTGCGAAATGCTAAATTATATTAATTTTCTTCATCAGAATCACTTCTGGAATCAATGATTTCCTTTATCCATTGTTCTCCTTTCAAGCATTTTACACTCATCCTGAAGTGAACTAAATTCAAATTGTAAGTTATACATTAAAAAAATTAACGATATAAGCAAACATTCCAATTTGTTTTTCGTAGCTTATCTATATATTATTAAACATATATAATTAAGGCACGTTGTTGACTGTTACTAATTATATATTATAATGGAACGCTTAGAACAGCAGGCCCACATAACTTTCGATGGATTCAGAGAGTTTAGTGGATGCTACCAATTGGCGGCGGTAGGATCCAGCCAATAGGCGGCGGTAGTACCGAAAGGATTAATTTGTCCATTTTCTCGCTATGCTAAGGTTCGATGGTGTCGGTGAACATGTATGCTGCAGCACGCGCCGCGGCTCCTTTGACTCGAATTCCTGGAAGACAATAATAATGCAATGACATAACTTTTTTTAATTTTAACATTTTAATACTGATCTTTTTTAACACATTGTTGATAGTTTTCTGATTAAAATGAGACCAAACACGATATAGTTTGAACAGATATTTCTGTTGACAAAATCAAAGACGGTAGACGTTGCACGTAATTTACTGCCAAAATGCACGTGGTGTGCGGTGGAAAAGAGTTTAGGCAAAGTTGTTGACTTTACTGATGCTGTAACAAATAATGTAAAAAAAATTAATTTGTAAATAATTCTTTGGCGGTCGGAAGTAATGATGTTAAAGAGAAAAGGAGAGGGGATGACGTTTCGTCCGGGGCCCGCTAGAGGACTCATCAGAAAGGCTATCCTAGCGGGCCCTTGCCTTAGACGTTGGGATATCGGTAGGAAGGATGAAGTCTGTATATATAGGAATTGAGGCGGATCGGTTACTCGGTAGCCGCCACAATTCATATTCAAATTGGTTGTAAATTTTTACCATTGTATGAGTAGAACGTATGTACTTACTTATTTAATTTTTCTTGCTCAAATAATATGATTTGAGTGCCTCCGTCATATGTCGCACGAAAGGTGGCTCTCTTTCACCCTATTCTGTTAATAATTCAAGGGCCGCATATAATGTATTGTGATTGTTTGACACATTTTCCAGTTCTTTAGCGTTTTCGTCCCCATTCCTCCTTTCTTATTCCTCACAGCCTGTTAAAAGTTGAGTGACGTGAGCGATGGTGCATTGTTCTCCTGTGATTGTGCTCATCATATCTGACTTGAAGCTCTCCCATATTTAATTCAATTGGAGGGTCACCAGGATTATTACTGTAGAGTAGTTTATTCAAAGCATTTTTTATGTTGTCTATTGTAACTCCAAACCACAAATCAGAAAAAATGTCTATACAAGTTTTTAAAGTGTAGTCGCCATAAAATTCATGTCGGGTTCTTTCTCGATGTTCAACCTTTTAAAATTCCAGGGTTGATGGAAAATGTACAGAAAACAGTTCCTTTACACCCTTTGGTGACTGCTTTGGAGATTACCCGAACTGTTGCTGATGATTTTTACCGATCTGTTGGACAGGTAGTCTTGAATGAGTCTATAGAGATTACTGGGGCAGTTTCTTGCCTGTAGCTGCTGGAGGATAGCAGGCCACCAGACGTTGTCGTAGGCGCCGCTAATATCGAAAAGGAGGGTAATAGCGTATTTTTCGCTCTTGTTTTGGGTAAATTCGCGCAGTTGAAGGATAGCATGTTTGGTGGAGAGCCTGGTTTTGAAACCATACTGGGATTTGGTGGCTAGGGGTTGCCTATTGAAAATGTTAGAGAGTCTGTCGGCAACAAGACTCTCAAGAGTTTTGCTAATGACAGACAGGAGGCAGATTGGCCTGTAGGATTTGGGGTCGGTTCTGGGCTTCTCCACGCTCTTTAGAAGGTCTCTGACGACTCCTGTCTTCCAGATGTTGGGGAATTTGCTGTTAAAAAGGAGGGTGATGTCACGGTTTAGGAGGTTCCAAGTCTGTTTCAGGATGGCGGTCTCTATCAGGTCCTGGCCAGGGGCTTTATAGTTCTTAAGGCGTTTGACCGCGCGCTGCACTTCTTCCATCTCGAAAAAGGGGGCATTTGGGGTGTTCGGGATGGTATTGGCGTTATGTCGGATTTCTCTGTGAAGAGTGGTGTTTGTCAGAGGGGTGTCGTCGGGCATTGGAGTGTCACGGGACGCGACACTCGGAATTACACTTGCAACGTACGCGTACGCTAAGGCGTGGGTTCGGAGAGTGAAGTTAAGGCGTGCAAGTTTCTTGTTAAAATAACTCTGCTTTATTGTGTGTTTTGGGGTCTTATATACTTGAAGACAAATCAGGGGAGGGGATGCAAGAAGCTTGAGGTTAAAGGCCATGTTTTATGGGTGGTGAATCAGAGAGGTGATGCGGAAGTTCGAGGTTGAACCCTGAATCACTATCGGTGATTCAGGAGGTGACGCGAAAGTTTGTAGTTGAACCCTGCTTCACTCTCGGTGGTTCAGGGGGTGACGCAAAGGTCTAGGAGTTATCTCCAGGTAGAAGACTCCGCTTCACACTCCTCTTCGTAGACTTGATTTACTCCGTAAATCAGAAGTTGACCTTGAAATGTTTCTTCCTGCTGTTTGGAAGGCTAAGAGCGGCTGGGAAGTCGTTAGACCATCTTATGGCGTTGCTCGGAATTTCAGGAACTGTCAGTATTTCTTGGATCCCTGCTGGTGGGCTCATGGGGTTTGTTGCGTATCTAACGGTTTCGTATTGTGTGGCTGCAACTGTTTGTATGTTTTCTTGATAACAAATCTTAACACGTTGAGTGCCACGTCAGTCACCGGTGACTGACACCGACCTTTCCGTTCAGACCGCGTCAGTCACCGGTGATTGACAGTATAAAATATGATAATAAAGGTAAAAATTGAACATTTTTTCAGAAAACTTTAATGGATTTTATTGAAACAAGGTAAACATAAAAATGGTTGTCCCTCGCAAGTGTCACAAAATGCTATAACCTGTTTGGTCAAATTTCGTGCTATTTTTCTGCCACTCTGTGCCGCATTTTCTTCATAGCACGATTTGCAATATTTTCGCACTGCTGAAACTCGGCCAGGTGAGGGTCACCTACCTCTTACACCACTTTCATAATCGATGATTATGCAATTTCATTTACCGACCAATTTTAAGTTGTACAAAACATGAGATTTTTTTGAGAAATTAAACACGGACCAGTTATATATAAGAAATTTACATTAAATTAAGCATGAATTACGTGATATGTCATTTTTCTCAAAAATGGACTTACACCACTTTCAAAATAAACGGTCCATATATATGTAATGTGTGGATAGTTATTGAAGTCGAACACAATATGATTCTAAAATAAGAGAATCAAGAGTTAAATGTCCGTGCTTCTATTGGAACTATGATCCCTGTTTCGGCCGCAATAGTTATGCCCGCTAACTCGCGACCTTGCGTATGACACCACCGTTGGTGTGTTCCGATGTGCCGCTTGTCAGGGTCTTCTGAGAAGTGAGGTCCCTTCCGTGCGCCGCGCCCGTAGTCGCCGCTGACGAACGACGCAGTTACGCAGAAGGGGGAGGGGGCTCAGCGTCTAGCACGTACTCCTTCGGGGGGCGGAAGTCTGGCAAGCATGCGGGAAAACCCAAGGCCTGCGTTTGCACCTCCGAAAATCGTTAAGACGGTCCGCTCTTCTCGCTGCTTGGAAACCTCGGGTCCATAAATCTTGTTGGCCCGCGTCGCCAACAATCCCAATTTATTTTAAACATTGTTCACTATCACTTGTCCGTCTTTCTCTTTCTCTTCTCATTCTTCGACTCTCATTCTTCGACTCTCAACTCTTGTCCACGTAGCCGCGTCGTCGTCGCGGCTCTCCTTGCATTCCTCCATTACTCCTGCGTATGCGCACTCACTCACACACAAAGCTTACATATATAGTGCTTTATCAAGCCGTCGATAATGGTTTCGGCTCTTTGGTTGGAGAGTGGGATGAGGATAAGATATTTCGTGAGGTAATCTTGAATTGAGAGAATAAACTGATTTCCTTTGTTGGTCTGGGAGCAGACGGAGCAGGTCGGAGCAAATTTAGCGTTTCGCAGTTACCTTTCCGTACAGGATTTAGAGTCAATATATGGGCATTAAAACACACAGAATTTGTTGAAACTGATTTATTGTGTTTAATACTACTTATAATACGTAAGAATATAAAATTTTTAATCTCTGTAGTGTTCTAAAGAATGGTATTTTTCGAAACAATCACTGATATGAAGTCCCGGCTTTCGTGTGCAAGTATCACAATACGTGTGTGTTTGTCGTCTTTTGCCTGGTGTTTTCCTGTCGGAACATACTGCACAGTCTTTCTTGCCTCCTGAACGAATTAAATGTAACTGATTATTTAATTTATTGTCTAGAAATGACGTTGAGAGTTGCGGTATAAGTGGTGTTGGACGCTGGAAATTTCCTACTAACTGTTCGACTAAATATTTCACAAAATGTAAGTGCGTTAGTGGCTTTTCATTGTTACGTTGTTTTGTTATTTTATACATTATGTATGAATTGATGACGCACATCTCCATACCCCAAAAAAATAATTTTCTCCACCATTTGAGAGATTTGCGGAGGAAACAATACGTTGCCGCATATTGATCTGCGCGATCAACTGCTCTCATTTTCTTGGTATAATTAATAGCCACGATTGGTTTCAATACATTTATTATGCCATCATCACCGCGCGTTCTTGTTGTAACTGGTTGGAGGGATGCTGTATCACTGGTACTCAGAAAGGTCACGATCCTCTTGCTTTTCCATGCGAGTATCAATGTATTGTCCTTTTTATACGCCACACTCGATTTTGATGAAAATATCGGTTTTCTGATTGCAGCTGGCAAATATTTTCGAGTTGGCATTACAGTACCCGTTAAATGAACCTTCAATTTGAGGAGTTCATTAGCAAGTGGGATACTTGTAAAATATCGATCATTGTACAAGTGATAACCCTCAGCACTCGGGATGTTGTTTAGTAGTTTTTTAACTAATGTTAACGGAATGTCGAGTAATTCCAATAATTGTGTTCCGGGTGTACCCATGAATGGTATTAGTGACGGTTGATTTCCAGTTGGATTTATCCACTGGTCTTCTAAATTATTACGAATATTTTGTGCTTCACATTCACTTTCAGAACTATATACAATTCGGCGGCATTTTGGTCTACGACGAACGGTAACCTCAATTGATGTATCGGTTGTCTCATCGGGGAAGACGGTAATAAAAATCTACGCGAGCCCTCCATAGTAAATGGGAGTTCTATATTACTAGAACTACAACTGGAACTATATACGTCTTGTTGTTCCATATTGCCTATCATTAAGGATAAAAATTAAAAGTTAGATCACTTTATCAATACAAAAATGAATTATAAGATGAAAGAATAAACTAATGAAAGTTAACAATAGAAACTTGTTTTCCAACAGAGACAAACGAAAAACACAAAATGTTATCTCCGTATATTTACCTACTCCCTCTTTTGTTTATTTTATTTCTCTCGTTTTTTACTTCGTTTTAAACAAATTCAAATACAGCAGATTCTTTTTACTCTTTGAAAAGTTTCAATTTGAGTGACTTTTACAGCCGAACTGACTCCAGCGCCACGTGTACCATAAATGGTACACGATGTGATAACTACTTCAAACAAGCTACATACTTATCTACTGATGATATAATGAAATATTATGTGATAATGTATCAATCTTTAGTCAAAACATCAAATGGCCTGAACGACAAGTTAGGCAAAAATGGCTTGGCACGGAACGTGTTAAAATATAATAATATGTAAAAACTCATAATATAATTCTTTGTGATATATTTGAAAGCAAGGATCTATACTACAAAGGCCAACATCGCAATCTTTGCACTCGTACCGCGAATCCGTTCTTTTATCATTTTTGCTAGAAATTACACATCCGCGTTTTCTTTATACACTTCATTTCGATGCCGCATATATGCGGCGCCCGTATCCACAGGTCGTCGAGTGGATGCCGCATATATGCGTCGCTCGGCGCGAAAGGGTTAATAAATCGTATTGAAGAACCATCACTGTTGTCGTCATCCACGTTGTTATTAGTCTCACTCATCTTGGTTATAACGGCATAATATTTATNATATGCGTCGCAACCACACTTTCTGTTAATAAATCGTATTGAAGAACCATCACTGTTGTCGTCATCCACGTTGTTATTAGTCTCACTCATCTTGGTTATAACGGCATAATATTTATTTCTTTAAAAACAATCTGGGAGTAATGATGAAAAGACCAAGAAAATATGTAGGCCGTGCAATAATGGTGAAGTATACAGTAACATTCAGCGTGCGAGATCACTGTTATACTAACTACCGTTTGCGTTGCGCTTTTTTTAAATCTGTTTGTCGATGCGATTTTATTACCAATATTATTGAGAGGGGGGAAAGCATTTTCGGCTGTTTAAAACAAAGCGTTGATGCATGACAATAAAGCAACGATTACATTAGGGTATGGAGTTAATCAAAATGACTTCTGAAATAAATTACTTATTTTTCAATGGCCAAAAAAATGTTGCCGTTTAATGGTGTTAATTTTTATTACATAAATATAAAAAGTTATGACTATAGCAACTGCTTTGACACATAAATTTAAGATTTTTCAAAAAGTGGAGTTAATCGATGTGTGCACTGAACGGCTCATATGTTACGGGGAGATCGCTGAAGCAATCCTCCGTTTTGCGGAGGCTGACGGAAACTGGGATGCACTTTACGATATGGATGGCTTCTCCGGCCTGGGTGGCAATATAGCCGGCCTCTTGTGTGATCGCGTAAGCCACTTCGGCTGGCGCAACTTGCGCGAGCGTTAGTGCGTTTCGAAGAACCTGTTGGTCGAGCCTGCAGCGTTGAGTCACAATATCTTGATAGAGTGATACTATCTGTGAGTTTAGGTGTTTCTCTACGTACACGAACTTTGCGTTAACGTAGGTAAAAATGTCTAAGTTGTTGGTGGGAGTGGGAGATTTTGATTTGAATTTTCCTTCCTTATTTGTATCCAAAATGAACAATTTCGGGTGTTCCGTACGGATAAGTGTATACCCGCAAATATTTGTTTTGGCCGTGCTAGTGAGTGCGAACGCTATATCTTGCGTAGCAACGGTGTACATGTCGGGGGAGGAACCTGGGTTAAAGGTTCGGGTGGCCTTCCCTTCGTAAAGCACATCGTATTGATTTACTCCGCATTGGTCCGAAGTATTAACCCTTTGCGGTCGGATTAAATTTGGAGGTGGGTATCGTACTGGTCGGAATTAATTTCCGTCGATAGAGCAGGGATACGTAATGCGCAAGTTTACGATGGATAAACAAGATTTAGTAATTCTTTTGTGAACTTTAGATATATCTTTATTCAATACACTCATCTAGTGATATGTTTTTGTATAAAAATTATGTTTTATAATTCTCCTTCGTGTGATATTTTTCAAAACACTCTCCAACATGCAGGCCAGGTTTTCGAGTGCATGTATCGCAAAAATAATTGGTTTGGTGCCTTCCACCCTTAATCTTTCTGTTTGAACATACACTACAATCTTTACTTTTTACATTTTCACAATGCCGCAATATATGCAGTTTTCCATTAAGTCCTTCTTCCTTATCGGAGGTCGATGGTCTTCCTGGTTTTGAATCTGCTCCGTCACGAAAATCACCTACCAGTTGTGCCACCAATTTTCGGACGAACATAAAATGTGGCATAGGTGTCCTGTTTTCTCTTCTAACTGACTCCTTATATAAAATGTAACTGTTTATTACACAAACCTCCAATCCCCAGAAAAAAAGTTTTCGCCACCATTTGCACGATTTTCTCAGAAAACAATATGAACTTGCTAATTGGTCAGCCTTATCCACACATCCTATATTTATATTATAATTTATAATGACGTTTGGTTTGATAATGTTGACGGTCCCAATTTGTTTCTTCCTTCTTTCTGTAATAGTCGTGCCCGATGTATCGTAACAGCTCACTATGGTGACTATTCTTTTATCTTTCCACGCTACTAATATAATATCGCCTGATCGGTAGGCAGCGATAGTATTATTTTTTGTTACAGCTGGTTTTTTAATCATGATTAAATGGGATGAAAAGGGTGTGTTTGGATTTTCGACGATCTCCTCTTCGTCGGACGAGGTAGTTTCGGGAGGATGGGTGGTTTCCAAAGGTTTTTTTTTATTATTTTGTTAAGTACATCTGCAATCTGTTACAAAATAACAATAAGCGAGATTTTATAGCTACTTACTCATAATATGTAGATATTTCGCCCACTGGCTCATATCTTCATTGGTTTTCTTCTAGCTAATATAATTGCTATAAAGGTTTTATCACGTTTTGTTTTTGAGATTAACTTATTTCCTACTTGTCTAGTATTGCACCTCGAGTATCTTGAAATCTGTGTCTATTGTCTAGCGGTTTGAATCTTTTGAGTCTGCGCGTATCAGTATGTTCATTTAGTAGTTCGTTTGCTAACATGTTTGGGTGAAGTTCGAGTTTGACAGTGTATTTGTCGGTAAAGTTTTTAATTTCATTCTTGACGGTAGGTATCTGTAGGTCATTGCGTATGTTATTATTCGTTATATACCATGGGGAGTTTGTTATCATGCGGAGAAGTTTCGCCTGAAATCTCTCGAGGATCTCGATGTTGGACACGGAGGATGAGCCCCATAATTGTATTCCATATGTCCATATCGGTTTTACGACGCATTTATAGATTATTATTTTGCTTTGAATTGACAATTTTGATTTGGGTATTTCCAAAGGTAACCGTGCGTCTTCGTCGGAGAAGGGTATGTGTTGGTTGGGCAAGAGTGGAGATGGTACTGAAGGGGGGAGGGAGGAGGTGGATGGTTGCGTACTGTGGTTTCCGATTTGGCTGGTGATTGTTCCGTCAGTCAGGGGTTTTCGTCTTACGGCGTCGAATAGAATGGAATCGGAGGAATCGGAAGAGAGGGGTTGGAGCGGGACGGGATTGCGTGAGAGCGCATCTGCGTTCGAATTCGATTTTCCCGTCTTGTAAATGATTTGATATTCGTATTCCGCGAGTTTGAGCCGCCACCGTAGGAGTCTGGAGGTAGGGTCCTTTACTGAATTTACCCAGACGAGAGGGCGGTGATCTGTGATTAATTTGAAACGTCGGCTGTAGATATGAGGACGGAAATGTTGGACACAGTAAACGATAGCCAAACACTCCTTCTCAATCGATGAGTAATTAAGCTCTGCTCCCTGAAGCAGACGCGACGCGTACGCGATCGGTTTATCTTTACCGGGCTCACCCTGGCTCAAAACGCCCCCAATCGCGAATCTTGAAGCGTCCATGGTGACATTAAATTCCCGGTCGAAGTCTGGGTATTGTAGAAGAGGTTCAGTGGTCAAAATCTCTTTTAACACGTTGAGCGCCACGTCAGCCATCGGTGGCTGACACTGGACTTTCCGTTCAGGCCGCGTCAACCATCGATGGCTGACAGCGTGTAACATGAGAACTCTAAAATTTTACACTATTTTACGGAATTACAGAAATTATATTTAAAATTTACTTAATTTGGTATCATTTCAAGATTAATGGGATTCATTGTAACATGGCAAACATAAAAATGGTTTTCCTTTACAAGTATTACAAAATGTTACAACACGCTTGGTCTTTCTCCTTGCCATCACTCTACCATCTTTTCTTACATTTTTGTCATAACACAATTTACAGTACTTTCGAACTTCAGAGACTTTTCCCGATTTTCTTTCGAGTTTGTGTTTTTTTTCTGGATCTTCTTGCAATTCTGCTCGGTGGAATGTTTTCTTTGTCACAACTTGTAAGATGGACTGCTAATTGTTTCCGAAATTCGGTAATGTTAATTTTCTGCTTCGTAATATTTTTATATAGAAAGTAACTATTTACAACCGTAGTATTTAATAACAATTCGAAAGCTAGTTTTCTATACCATTTTAGGGACTTGCGTAATGGATTGTTGTAGGCGTTCATTTGGTCGGATAAGTCGACAGCTGACTTTTGTCTGTTGTAATCTACTATAATTTGTGGCTTGATCTGGCGTCCTGATCGGCATTCAACATTCACCATTTCTGACGAGTGCTTTGTCGATAGAACTAGGATGTCCTT